TGAGCAGCTGTGAGCTGCCAACGGGCGGCCGGATGGCGACTGGACTTGGAGCTGAGCTAGGTGCGCCCTCCACAACTAAGGCTGAAGGACAACAACTTGGCTGTTTTCCTCCCCAATCCCCCAATAAAATCTTAAAAAAAAAAAAGACAACCCTCAATGTCACCAAGGTTTACTGAGCCCTAACCATGGGCCCGTCCCTGGGCTAAGGATAAAACCAGAAGTCGGTTCCTCCCAAGCTGTCCCTGCAGGTCCCCTAAGAGCAGAAGCCAGGGAGGAAGCCCCACCCACAAGGGCACCAGCCACCCCTCCCCCATCACTTGTCTCAAGCCTCGTGGTTTATTTTTTTAACTCAAGCAAATGTGCCTTCTATTCTCTTACATGAATGAATTTCTTTTCATGTTAAAAAAAAAAGTTTTCAATGCTTTGCCAATTCAGTGACTTATTCTCATTCTTCCTCCGAAACCCCGACTTGTGTCAATGGAGTCTTCAGGAAGTCCCCCTTCTCCTTGGGCCACACCCGCCCCCAGCCCTGAAGGGGTGTGAGCTCCTTGAGGGAGGCCCCAGTCAGCCCAGAATAATGGAGGCAGGTTCACTTGCCACTCAAAGCACCAGCTGGGAGAACAGGAGCCCATCGGGCATCGACAGGCAGAGTGCCTGCAGCCCGTGAAAAGTGTGTGGGAAGGTTCAAGGTGGGTATTACCTCTGCGCCCAAACTTTGAGATCTTCTAAGAACTCTATCCAGATGGGTGGCCTCAGTGTTGGGAGGAAACATGCTTGTGAACCCATTTTGATGGAGGACTTTGGAGCTGAGGCGAGACGAAGCCTTCTGCCCTGCACACAGTGATGCCAACAGCTGCCACTTCTGTCTCTGAGCCTCACTGCTGATCCTCACAAGCAGGGATCCCGCTCCTAATAACAGGCGAGGAACCCAATCTCAGAGAATTTAAGGAATCAGCCCCATATCATTTAGTAAGTGTGGGAATTAGTATTCAAACCAAGTCTGTTTTGATGCCAGCTGGGTCCATGGCAGGGTGCCCTATGCTGCCACCCCCCAAATTCCAGCACATTCCCTTCAAATGACATTGCATTCATTCTACTGCCACCCTCCATGAGGGCAAGAAGAGAGGTACTGCTTTTCCTTGGTGTCTTTTCTCAAGCACGAGGCCATGTTAGAGCAAAAGTCTCCACGTTTGCAGAAGTCAGCCTGGCTAGCAGATTTTCTCTAATTCTGGTGGTGATGAGCGGCCTAATAAAATTATGCTAAGTTATGTGCATAGAGAATAACATCTTACATTCTAATTATTGGCCACGTCTTTGAAGAATTCCTGCGCAATTACCAGGGTAATCAACTCACCTCTTTCTTTGGGTCTGATTAGTCGGTTGGGCCGATGTAAGCACACCCCCTACCCCCAGCCTCAGCCCCACTTGAATCAACAGGACTCTGGATGTCATTAGCTACTCCAATTGCCTTTTTACAAATCTGTTTCACATAAAAGGACAAATGAGAATGAGTATTTGCCCATCTTTAAGACACTAACTACATTCTTTTCCACAGCCTGTTCTCGTTATTACTTTTCTTCGGGAGGAATTTGAACACAGCCTGGGCTCCCGCACGCAGCTCATGACTGCAAACGCTTCCTCTTCGAAATCTGACCCAAGTGGGCATTTTTGGAAATGTGGCCGTTTTGAAACAACATGGCCCAGTTGATTTTGCTCTACCTATTCTCCCCCCAGACTCACCTCCCAATTCTTAGGTGGCCTGCTTTCCAGGACTTGTGAACAAACTGTCACCTCTACCAACAGCACCTCAGGCAGGGCTGAACAGGGACCCTTCATAGTAACGGCTGGAAAACAAGAAGAAACTTCATCCAAGGACTTTTATTTAATAGTTAGCATCCTGTATGCCAATATAAGCACGCTGAAATACCAGGCATGGGAGGGGATTGAGTCTAGTGAGAGGGGGTCTCACCTGAGCCCCCTTGAAGCACTGAGGTGGAAATGGGAACAGGCAGGGATGGGTCAGTGAGGGAGAGTGGGAGGGAGGGAGTGAAATGGGGACCCTTGGATATTGTTTAAATGCAATGGACTAACTTGAATAATGCTTGCTCGATTCTCCTCCAAGACTGTTTAGCCTGAACCCTATGGTCTGTGAGCCCTACTGACCTCCCCACCCTCATCTCCTGCACACTCCCTCTTGGTCTTAGCACTCCAGCCATGTGTCTTTCTTTCAGCTGTTCCAACATGCCCAGCTCTTCCTACCCCAGGGCCTTTGCACATTCCAGTCCCTGAATGTCACTTCCTCCAGCGCTTTCTGTGGCACCCTCCTTCTCATCCTGCAGGCTTCTATTCCACTGGCCCAACCCCAAAGGGCCCTTTTCTGACTCCCATCACTTTCTTCACTCTATTATCCTCTGCCCACCACTCACCCTGCCTTGTCTTAGGAAGATATGAAAGTCTGTTGTCTCTCACACACAGAATATGTGTGAGAATATGATCACTATGAAGGCAGGGGTTGTCTATCTTATTCTGCACTGTGCATCTAGCCCAAAGCATAGTACCCAGCACACAGTAGGTGCTCAGGAAATATTTGATGAATGAATGAATGAAAATGTCAGCATATTCCATACGACCCCTATTCCCCTTTCTCTTTCTGGAGTCTACAATCTTTCTTAAAGAAAATTTAAAAAGATTCCTGGGCTTATCTGGACCTACTAACAGAAAAAAAAAGAAATGTTTTTCTCTTAAATCTCTTGAAAATGGACAACAGAGGCTTGGAACACCGAGTTCTTAGTGTGAGCAAGCAGAGCCTGCAAGCTGAGTTCTAAGAAATGAGACCTGGCTGGTCTGCAGGCATAGGTTGTGGGGCTGGTGACTTCACATGATTCAGTTAGCCCAAATTTGGGGGGGATCCATTTCAAAATCAAAACCTCAATATGGAAAGCTGAGGTTGGCTTTGTTTTGGCATCCCTACGTGAAGGCAGGCTTTCTGAAAAGACGCTACGTCGATAACTCATCCACAAAGGGGGGGGCACCGGGGGGGCTGCAAGAGGGGAAGGGAGAAGTCTCAGGATCAGGCAGATTTGTCTGCTAAGGCTTCACATGAAAACTGATCCGGGAATGCGAGATCCTCCAAAAATCCACCAGCCCCCAAAGTGTTTAAGTTACCCCTCCGACCACAGCCACATGGAAGATGAAATTCAACCCCACGGAAAGAGTTGACTTTTTTAACATTATGCAATGTTTGGGTGAAAAAAAGGGGGAGATATAAAAAAAAAAAAAACCAAAAAAACTCATCTTTTTCCCAGAGGTTAGCAAAGCTATTTCTAGCTTTTAATGATACATCTCAGCATCACTTCATGGGTAGTTTTGAGAGGCGTAAAGGCGGGACTGTTCTGTTATGTAACCCATTTAAAGTAGGAAATTAGCAAGTCCTGAATGAATTCTGTTACTGTGCTCTGACTTCTGGAAAGTTTGGAGCGACTACAGTTCTATTTTGAGGTGAGCAAATTCATCATTTATAGATCTCCTCACAAATACCGCAGGGTTTCATGTCACCCTTACAAGTTTCATAACAAAAACAGTTAAAGTACTTGGGGTGTTGGAACATTGCGTCTCAAAAGCTTATTAGCCTGAACAGTGAGGAGGACAAGCCTTCCCAGTTGCCAATTATTCAAAAATACAAATATCGAAGATCAAATAAATATTCATCGCCCGCGCCCCCTCCCCCAACTCGTTTTTTTTCTTTTTTTTTTTAAGTCTGGTCAACAACATAAAAAGAAATGTCTGTTTTTAACGGAGCTGCTTGGCCATGAAATAAATTCTGAAGCTATGAAAGCAGCGTCTTGAAACTAAGCAGTCGGGTACGTTGGGCCTGCCTGGTTGTTGAAAACAGGAAACAATGTCTTTCAGTCCTCAAGCTCCCTCTAGTGGCTCGACTGGAGATGCGTCAGCAAGTTAATGGAATTTCACTACAGGCAACAGCAGTCCGTAATTTTACACCTATAGCACACGTTTAAGGAAAAGTACTGTCCGTGGCTTCCGAGCCCATGTCACCAGAGCTGAGAGCATGCGTCCCCCACTTTCCCAGGAGAGCCACTGTTGATGGAGACAAAGCTAATTTACAATTCTCTTTCTAATCCATAACTGAAAACTGCCCTTTCAATCAAGAACCGATGAGAGGAAACCAGCAGCCCACGCTGCAAATAGCTACTAATGAAAACATCTGGCCAGTTGGAGGCATACAGGGCTGGTTTCCTGAGACACAGGCGTGTATACGACTGAATTCCCTTGGAAACGAGGAAAGACTCTTACAAATGGTAAACCTGACATGCGCAGTCTATTAGGGTTTCGTAACCTCGGTACTTTTGACATTTGGGGTCGGATAACTCTTTGTTGTGTAGGGGCTGTTTTGTAGGGTGCATTGTATCCTGCAGCATTCCTGGGCTCTCCTCACTAGATGCCAGCAAAGCAAACCCCTCTAGTTGTGACAACCAAAAATGACTTCCAACATCGCCACATGTCCCCCGGGAGACAAAAATCACCCCTGGTTGACAATCACTGGATGAAATTAATAAAACGTGTTCTTTGCATCCTACACAACAGCTTAAAAACCTCATTTGCCTAAATCTTAAGTGTCCACACTCCTAAATCTTTTATCACTTGATTAAAAAAAGGTATCCCAAAGCAATCAAGGACTGCTATAACATGAACCTTATAGAATGTTTTTCTCTTTTTTTTTTCCTGTATGTGTCGATTACTTTTTGAAATTCTGACATATCTGGAATAGACAACAGTACAGAATAATAAATAATGCGTGGGTTTGGGGTGGGATTTTTGTTTTGGGGGTTTTTTTTGCCCAAATCAAAATAATTTTAACCGGAGAAACACCCATTTTACCGTTTATATACCATGAGCCACACAAAATAAAAGCATGATAATAAAAAGCGCCCATTGTGACACCAGACTTCATGTTTCCACACAAATTAAAATGACCTCCAAAGTCATAAAGTACACAAGCTTTATTGGGCAACGGAAACGGGCCACGCTGGCAGACAATGAAAGCAGAACCGCTCGGATCACACGCAGGATCACATGTGTGTCATCACGGGATCGAGAATTTAAATCATCTGGGATTTCCTGCTAAATTAAAGCACACTGCACCAGAGCTCCCCCTCCCATCAAAAAAATGCTGTGCTAGCCAACACTGACAATGAGGATTACATACAAAGAGATCTAATGAGGAACTCGTGGAATCCTAGATGAGCCTACCATTAGCCCCATCACAGCAAAACAACCAATTAGCCACGATTTTTCTTTTTGTGAATACCGCACCCCCCACCTATCCCCCACGAACACAATATTCACTGACATTATCCAGCGACATTCCGACGGCACCTCCAGCCCGGCTGTGACAGAAAAGACAGTTTTGCAGGTAACGCTGCTGCTTTGGCATAAGAAGATGCTATGGAGCTCAAGGTTATCGGAAACCCTGCTCACACAATGCTATGCTCCTCGGTTCCATCCCACAACATAATTTTTCCAAGATGAAACGGACATAATTAATGGGAATCTTCCATAAGAAGTCTATATAAATGGCAAAAAGCGTTATGTTAAAAGAAGGGGGGAGAAATAAAATCTGTTGTATTTACAAAGCGCCTTGTAATTTTTTTAATGGAAAAGCTGGGAGTGATGGAACTTTAACCCAAACCAAATCTCTCTTCGAAAAACTTGAGATGACATCATACACACACACACACACACACACACACACACACACACACACACATTTTAAAACACACAAAAAAAGACTGAAGATTAAAACAGCTGATAGGTGTTTGCCTCGGGTAGGATCGAGTGGAAGAATACGTAGGTCCCATTTGCAATTTTGGCCAAGGTTTAAAATACTCCCCCATGAAGGGCGTTGCCATCCCCACCCCAGCAGAAACAAAACAAAGTATAAAAACAAAAGTCTGGAGGAACAAAATCAGGCATATCATCTCAATTTCCAATGAGCACAAAACTCAAAATACATTCAAAAGTTGTCAAAATACCCTAAATTTTCAACAGAGAACATACTGAGTAAAGGGTAAGCAGATGTTGGTATTTAAGATTACTGCTACCAAAAAAGAGAGAGAGAGAGAGAGAGAGAGAGAGAGAGTTTCCCTTAAGGGAAGCAAGTCTGGGGACTGGATATAATAATGCTGAAAGTGGGCGAAATCCCACCTCTTGGCCTCCCAGCTCCAGGTGGCTGTAAACAGGTAATTTGCTCCAATGTCAAGGTGCTCTTCATTGCCTTGTGGCAAAGTGCTTTGCCCCAGGCAGCCCAAGTCAGTGCAACCAGCCTTCCGTAGCACCATCGGCAACACACGTGCGTGCACACTCTCAAAATCAGACTCAAAACTGTCAGATAAGAAATCACTCAAGAGGGAGAAGCTTGTCTGGCCGCTTTCTTAGAGCAAGAGAGAAAGAAAGGAGCGGGGTCGGGGAGAGAAACCAAACAGATCCCATCCCCCCCACACACACACCCATCACCAAAAGATATAATAAAAGTCATCAAATAATAAAAGTGCTGACCCTGTGACAGAAATATGTAGTGTAGAAGGGCGGTGGGGGGGGCACGTTGTCATTTTTACTTTAAGGAGTGTTTAAACAGCTGATTGTGGCCATGGGGAACTCTGGCCCCCAATTAAATTGGCTGTTGGGAGACGTAGGTCCCACTGAGTCCAGTCCCAAGGCGAGGGGAAGGTGCCAGTGGTGCTTCCTAAGCTCTTTCCAGATTGACGGAGCCAAGAAAAAAAGTCAACGCAATCCTTATGCTTACGGGGTGTGAACTCAAGAGTTTCCTATAAAATAAGTCAGATGTTTTGTTTGTTTCTTGGTCTTCCCCCACAACTAAGATAACTGCCGGAAGTGCCCACGTGCGCCCTGGCTCTGTCGGATCACAGTCCGATGTCTGCAGGTAAGGATCACACTCTCAACCGACTCCCGCTCTTCGGGTCTCCAGAGTTTGAGAAGCACCCATGTGCTTTCCCAGACACCCCAGGACCCCAGCGGGTGGGGTGAGCAGGCTGACAGTGACAGGGGTGGCTTACAATGTGGTGGTCTCCGCTTGGGGTTCAGTCCCTCTTGCCCTTGACTGCCTACGCCGGAGTGTAACTGAGACAAGGGCCTTGTTGGTGGCATTGACGAGCATCCTTCGCCTTCCAGGGACGTCTCCTTCAGCCCCCCCCCCCCAGAAGCGTTCTCCCTTCAAGATGTCAAGCAGTATCTTAGGGATTGACTTTAAAGTCAACCCACGCATCTCGATCAAAATTGGGAATTAAGGAAAAGGCCAAAGAGGCCATCTTCATCCCCTGTATGTGCTGGAAACATCTAAAATTTCCTAACAAGGAATCCGTGAGACCTACCTGCAGGAGCCACCGCCTGTCTGTGAACAGGGTCAGGTTCAGGGTTTGCAAACTCAAGAGTGGAACTACTTAAGATTTCCAGTTTTACAGTCTGACTTCCAAGAAGACAGACTGAGGTGCCAACAGTCTGAGCACCAGGTCCCCCTCCTATACCTGCAAAACTGCATAAAATCACGCAGTGAAAAAGTTAGACCTGCTCAACCTTTCCGAACGTTCTGAGCAAAGATTCTATCCCTAAATAACCATTTCTTCACTGCAATGTATACTGTCTGTAGCTCTTTTCTGGAGGACAGAAATGGTTGGAACAAAAAAGAAGGAAAAAACTGCAGAATCCTAAAACACAACAGAAGTGATGCCAATAACCAATTTCCCAGCGCCTCCAACTTACTGTCATTTTATAATATTTTTTTGTAAAAGGGCAACGTAAATACACGAGCATATCAAGGGTGCTCCAAAGGCAAGAAACGGTTGGCTCCCCATGTCTCCAACCCTCTGAGGGCAAGACTGCCCTCAGGTAGCGGGCGTCAGCCACCAGGCCAGAGCTTACGTCTCTGAAGCACACACAGGAAGCGCCATGCTGACGGGTGGAAGGGTATGTACTCATCAGGAATTAATCACAAATCTAAGATATCAAACACAGTCAGCTCTTGAAAACCAACCCTTATGGCATGCATATGTGGCTGCTGCAAGAAGTGACTGGGGAAACCCAAGAACGTCTTGCCCTGCCACGTCCAGTGCTTGCACACTCCCTTCTTCCTCTGAAATGAGAAGCCACAGCTTTATAAGAAACACACATGCATGTACTCCATCCTGGTGGGGGAGGGGTCTCTACAACTGGCTGCCTTTCAGTTAAGTTCCCGGGGAAATCTGTAGGCTGGGGAACGGAGTCCAGAGCCAAGGGCTACAGCCCGGGCCGCCTCCCACGGGGTCTCCCTCCTTGAAGCTGCCACCACGAACGGCAACACGGCAAGATGCCTCTGCCTCTGTACTTGCGTCCTCAATAATCCCTCCTAACAGGAAACAGGTTTCTGTGGGAGTAAAGAGCCCCAATCCCTGACCTTTCCACTTTGGACCCAGGGTCTCAGCCACATGGGCTGTGTTGTCTAAAGAATTAGTTGAGTCTCTTATCACCCTGTCGACAACATTTAGGGGCTGTTCGGTGGCACGTTTCTCGCTAAAACCACTCTGCTGTAAATGTCTGAAGGTGTCCTCAGATAGCCACAGGCTTTATAATTGTTACCAGGTCCGAACAAAGCGGGATAACGCCTTTGAAATTCTTTTACGAGGTGGCAGGTGACGCTAACTCCAGCGCCGTGGACGCTGAGCGAGGCGCAGGGTAACATCTTGGATTTACGGCACACGCTCCTGCCTCTCATTTGGTTTTTTTTCTCATCCTGGGAAGCCCTGTACAGCTTCACAAGCAGGGCTGCCTTCAAGAGGGTATTTAGCATTTCCACATTGAGATTAGTGTCTGGATAACTTGTCACCAAATGTCATTATCTTTTCCCCCAAACCTAAACCAAGAGCTTCACATTTCTCCGAAACCAGTTTTTAAGAGCGAGAAAGACAGAAAGAGTACACACGTTAGGGTTGTTTAAAAAAAAAAAAATCCTCTACAATCTTCCACTAGACAGAAACTTTTTATCACATGACCACAAAATTCAAGTCATAAGGAAGCCTGCACAGTGACCCACAGAGAGAAGTCTCCAGGTTGAGCCACCAGCTTGAACACAGTCACAGTCGTTCAAACATGAATCGCCAGGGGCTCCACCGGGCCGGCCTGCGAGGGCTCCTCTTCAGAGCCTCCCTCCTGTTGATTCAGTGTCCGGACGTCGTGCAGAGCCTCATCACGTCAAAACTGCACGTGTTAGCAATTACTGCAAGGTCCACAGGTGGAGGTTTCAGATCAACAGAACTTAAACTCTGTCTGTCAGGGAAGTGGAGACCGGAGTCCCCTCCACCGAGCGAGCGCACAGCCTACGACGTGAGTTTCGAGTAGCTGGGGGGAGAGAACCGTCTTCGCAGATACTTGAGGATGTAAAGGGGGAGACAGCTGACCAGAGTGATAACGGACACCTTCCACAAGAACGACAGAGTGGCGATGAAGTACACATCTGCAAGCAAACGGGAAGACAGCGGTGAGCAGACGGGAACATGCCAGAAGGTGCATGCAGTCGAGAAAGCCGTCACAGCTATCACCCCATCACCAACGCACGGCCCCCTAGCGTTGGCTCCTTGCCTCCACTAGTCTTTACGGGGACATGCCACCGGCTCAGCCCATAAAGGCTGTCAGCTCGACTTTCCTCACTCTCTCCTTCCCTCCCTGACCCGCTCCTGCAGCTTCCTGATAGTCAGTGAAACGCTCTTTTCAACAACTAGGAAAAGAAAACTGGGTAAAAAACAATTCGCACAGGTGTTTTTGATTTGGACTCTGACAGCTGGAGTTTTTCCTTCCTAAACACAGCCGCCGGAAAGCAGGAAGTGACCCTCAAACGCACGTTTCTGCTTCCCAGCTTTTCCCTTCATCTGAGTGATGGTCACAGAAAGCCACAGGACGGGTCTGAGGGTGACGCAAGGCAGGCTGAGACCCCCTGGTCAAAAAGAGTGACCTTGGGGGCTTTGGCCTAAGGACAGGCACGCTGCCTTTCCTGGTGCAGGACGGTAAAGCCTGCAGTTATAAGGAGTAACAGCTTGTGGATTTCAATAGTACAACACCCTCTGCACTGCCTGAGTGCAGGATGGGGAAAATGCAACTGGCATTAAGTACCCACTAAGTGCCAGGCCTACGACCCACCATGTGCTGTTCGCCCAGTCCTGTGATGGGTCCATGTCTAAGGCAACTGACCAGAGGCCCCTGAGGGCAGAGCTCACATCTTCTAAACTTCTGGGACTACACCCTCCTCCACCACCACCCCCAGCTTCAAACCACTGAGCACATAGTAGGTGCTCGCAAAACCCACTCTGAGAAACTTTTGGGGACAAGTGTGAAACTGTTCTAAGACTTCACTTTTCACAAGGATGCTCCTTTATCTTTACCAAAACCTTTTTTTTTTTTTTAAAGATTTTATTGGGGAATTGGGGAAGGGGAACAGCCAAGTTGTTATCCTTCAGTCTTAGTTGTGGAGGGCGCAGCTAGCTCAGCTCCAAGTCCAGTCGCCATCCGGCTTCCCGTCGGCACCTCGCAGCCGTTCAGCTCAAGGTGCCATGTTCAACCTTACTTGTGGGTGGGTGTAGCCCACCATCCCATGTGGGAGTCGAACCGGCAACCTTGTTGTTAGGAGCACGTGCTCTCAGCAGCTGAGCCATCCTGCCACCTTGTTGGCAGCACAGTGGCAGCTCAGTTCAGGCACAGCTCACTGGCCCATGTGGGAATCAAACCGGCAACCCTGCTGCTCAGAGCTCATGCTCTTAACCAACTGAGCCACTCAGCCAGCCCCCAAAACCTTTTGAAGGAGCGTTTGCTGATACACAAGAGATGCGATCAAAGACGCTTCCATGGTAAGGCAGCTTGTCAACTAAATGACAATGGTAAGTCCTGCTAGGCTATCATTCTTTTGTGAGCAAGACCTAGATACTTGACAGCTCCATAGCTCCACAGAGCCCAGAAACCCACCAACCAGGTCCTTCCTGAATTAAAAAGAATCCCCTCTAAGCCAGTCGGCATGTCGTGGTTCTAAAAGCAAACACTATTATATTGAGACCATGCCTGACATTCTCAGTTCCACACGGCTGATTCACAACGGCCCCTTGTCCCAAGGGCACACCAGGAAGAACACGGAGGCAGCTGAATGCAAAGGCCTGCTGGACAAAGAAGCCTGGACCCGTGCGGGCTGGGGGAGGCTGGCTTCCTTCACAAGATGGAGAGAACTCTGGACCTGATGGGCAGGCTTCACATCGGGGGACGGGGGAGGTCTTACCAATGAATTCGTGTAGGAACACCAGGGAGGCAATATAGCAGGCCAGGCTGAGCAGCTCGGCCACCGTCATAAGCCAATGCCAGGTCTGGATGGTCAGGGCCACCATCAGCAGCTCCGTGAGGATCAGCGACGTGAAGGAAATCGCCACGATATGCACAAATTCTGACTCGAACAGCAGCAGTGCTCCATACATGATGGTGCTCCCTGGAAACAGAGAGGAAAGTCCAGGTGGGGAGGCTGCTGTGTCCCACGCAGCCCTCTCTGCTGGGAGCGGACCCGCCCACAGACTCCCTCTGTTCATTCACGACCGACTCCTTTTTTTGTTTTGTTTTCCCGTTTAGACACGAGAGGTACCACTTGTGAAATGAGTGGTGCTTTATGGAGGTTTTAAAGAGGTATCACATTCTAGTTTCCCTGTTTTTCCCTTTTGACCTCATATAATCAAGAGTCCATAACTGTTGGGGGGGAGCGGGGGGGGGGTCGGTGGAGAGAGAGCAAGTGAAAGAAGGAAAGAAAGAATAACTATATGGAGTGGTGGGAACAAGAAAAAGAAATTTAAATATATTAGTAAAAAATGATAGAGCTAGGTAGTCACAAAAAAGACAAATATGTATGATTCCACCTATGCGAGGGACCTCAAGTTGTCCTAGAGACAGAAAGACTGGCGGTTACCAGGAGTGTGGGGGAGGGGACACAGGAGTTTGTTGCTGAATGGATACAGAGTTTCCATTTTACCAGCTGAAAAAGTTCTGTAGGTCCGCTTCACCACAATGTCAGTCTACTGAACGCCACTGAACTGTGCACTTAAAAAGAGTTAAGATGGTAAATGCTCTGTCACGTGTTTCTTACGATATGCGAGAGGTAACCGAGATAGCACTCCAAGAACTGTGTACCAGTATTGAGGAGAGAAAGGAAAGGGGAGGTCAGCAGAAAGGTTTTTATCTAGCATGGCAGGCACCGAATGGACAGTGTCTCTTGTCAATCATAAACACTACCAGCGCAAGGATAATACTTGGACACAGGGCCAGAAGATCTGAAAGCCCAAAACTCCTCAAACGACTGCCCATGACAGCAGGGTTGAAGATGGATGGGGTAGAATGTAGCACCACTGCAATGAAGAGCTTTTATGCTTTTTTTAACTAGATGCATATATGATACTTTGATGTACTCCTTTAAAATACCCCCCTCAATTTTTTTAATGACAATTTAAGCTCCTGCCAACAAACTCAACAGCCTCTACACTCTTTGATTGTGCATCCCATCAGTAAAAAAATTGAGAATGATTCCCCCAATGTACAGTGTGTATGTGTAAATAATATACGTGCAGACGTGGATAGAGAACATTAGGACCACTGTACAAATATATACATTAGAGAACAAACATAAGGTATCAATTCAAAAAGAGAAGAAAATAAATACAAATAGAGGCTTTGACATTTCCTTCTCATACTCCAATAAGTTGTCTTCCAAAGCCTCTACGGTCTGAGGGACCACTGGAAAAATAAATGTTTTTCAAAAACTACAACTTGACCTCAGAAAAAGTATCAGAATGTCCCAGAAAGTAATCACTTTTCGTTACAATGGCTTGAACACCTCAGCAGGTTTTGATTAGTATTCATTATAGCATTCTCTGACTTCATCTCATTAAGCTGACAGCACCCCCTCACATATGGGACTTCCACTGTGCTGAATGCTAGAGTCCTTAAGACGTGCCAAGCGGGGTTCCCCCGCAGGGCACACTGTCACACTTCTAACTGCTGTTTTAGGATTCCAGCTTCTTCGTGTTCTACAGATAGCAGGCAGTCAAGTTGACCCTTGGATCAAGGCCAGGGCACAAGACTAGAGGTGATTTCGCCCTTCCTTACCTTGACAGATGCTAATCAAAACCCATATTAAGAATGTCTTGTAGGACAACGGCCGTCCCTAAATGAGAGAAAGACAGAACAGGTTAGCAATGCCAGATGCCTTCATGCCACTATTCCACTAACAGGATAGGCACCTGCCTGTTTTCATCAAAAAAAGTGGTTTACACCTATCTGACTACATTAAATAAATTACGTTTTCCAAAGAGACTTGATAATAGATAGGAATAAGCCTGCTCTTTAGTAGAAAAACCCCTTGAGGACAAATAAATGAAATTACACCCCCACCCACCCCCACCATCCCTACATTGTTTTAGAAGTACACACAAGAACATTTCTAGGAGCAGACACAAGTTGCAGCTGCAACATGGAACTGTCAGGGGCTTTTTAAAAAGTTGATAGTTGGCTTGTTTTCAGTTTATATATTACTGCACTGTTTGATTTTATTTACATGTGCATATGTTACTTTTTTAAGAAGGGAAAAAAAAAAAAAACCTCCCATGCCTTCCTCCCCAAAGCTACCAGTTCAAGTATGCTGAAATTGAGTATCTTTTACATGAAATATAAAAGAAGTAGAAATGGAGAAAGAGAAGGAAGAAAAGGGAGGGAAGAAAAAGGAGCTTAGTGGACCTTGAGGAGATCCTTGTAGAGCTCAGGATACAGCATGGCAACTTCTGACTTGACATCTTTGTCCAAGACCAGAGAAAATACAGGAAACATGGTGTAGATGGTCGAGTACCTAGGAGAGAAAACCACCACAGGTAAGACCTGGCCAGTGGAAGAGGAGCGATTTGCTCCCCCAGCCCCTGGAGTCCAGCTTCCATTCATTCATTCGCCAACTATGTACTGAGTGTCGTATTATGTGCCAGGGCCAGTTAAGTACCGGAGAGTCAAGATGAAAAACAGACAAAAATGTCTGCCCTCAGAGCGCTGCTAGTCAGTGAGTCAATCAACAAATCCCGTAAACTACTCTGTGTGAAGGAATAAGTGCTAAGGAGGAAAGTATAACGGGAAAGAGAGAGTAAGACATGGCGGGGGGAGGGCTGCAATTCTAGAGAGGGGGCCAAGGGACATGGCATTTGTAAATACCCACAAGAGGTGAGGGGTCAGCCATGCCCATAGCGGAGGGAACAGCATCCCAGGCAGCATGAACAGTGAATGCAAAGGCCCTGAGGTGGGACCATGTCTGTCCTGTTTGAAGAGCAGCAAGGCAGCCAGTGTGGTTGGAGCTGAGTGGGGGAGGGTGAAAGAGGAGGAAATAAGAACCAAGAAGGAATGGGGGGCAGGGGGCAAATCGTGGGAGGCCACATGGAATATGGCTCAGGGAACCCCTGGCTATATGCAGACATGTTTTTTCACTCTTCCAGGACCTGACAAAGGACAGTCCATTTTTCCAATTAGAAGCAGGCAGAATTCCAATGCCGCTCTCAGGCTGAACTGGCAAAATATAAAAAGATGGTGGGCGTACTTTGTAAGACTGTCCCCTGGGGCCAACCAGTCTCTCTGCGCCTCCCCTACCCAGGAGTGCGTCCTGTGTGCGTCTATCTAGGGCGTGTGGTAACCAAACTCCACCTACCTGGGTAATTCAAAGACTGAGCACATTCTCTGGAAAGGTCAAAAGGAACATCATGCGTTCCAGGTCAGGAATGGGGGTGGGCTGGATGGCAGACCTTGTCTAACGGGTCAGTGGCACATGGTGGTCAAGTTCTAAGGTCCACCCACCGAGAGAACAAGGCTCTGGCCAACCTTGGAGGCCCAAAAGCAGGACAGTCCACTGGAGTCAGCCACACCGGGAGGGTACTTTCCAGACACCCCCTTCCTGTTGACCTAAGACCCCAGTGGAATCGCTGAGTCTGTAAACCTTCAATCTTGCTTTGGTTGCCAATCAGCCAATAACCTCAGACTCTCGTGGGTGAGCGTTGTTCCCTGAGCAGGTACAAATGGCCACGTGCTATGGACCACAAGCCTACTGAGCTCTTACTGCCTCGATCTGGTTACGGGCTTAGCAGTTCAACAACTGATTAATTCAAGAAAGTTCTAAACCAGTTCAGAGCTAGCTCAAGAGTGTGAGCTATGAGCAACAGCAGTTCAATTCCCGGCCTGAGGTGAGCTGCCAACAGGTGGCAGGATGGCTCAACCAAAAAAAAAAAAAAAAAAAAAAAAAAAAGAAAGAAAAGAAAAGTTCTAAACCCCATGGCTGGACCTGCCTTGACCAGCGATTTAGGGACTGAAGGATCTTGATACAATGTTTCTTCTCTCTCCTGTGGCATTTCAGGGACGTTACATAAAAAATTAATACCTGGCCTGGATTTCCTTACCCAATGATGAGGAATCCTTGGTAGAGAGGAACGGAGGCAAAGTAAAACACGGAAGAAAAGACAGCCTGTGCAAAGGAGAAAGGAGGACATTACAAAAAATCCTGACAAAAGCCCTATGTGTGTGTTTATAAAAACAACACTACACTCTTACAAGGCACGGATTTTACACCAACACAGTTGCAAGTGCTTTCAACATATTCAATATATTCTTACAACAACCCTATAAAAGTAGGGACTGTCATCATCCCCCATTTTACAGATGAGACATATAAGGCACAGAGAGGTCAAGTGAGTTGCCCAAGATCACACAGCTCATAAGTGACACAGCCAGGACTCACACTCAGGGAGTTTAGCTCCAGAGTCCACCCTCAGTCCTTTTGTGACTATTTAATTACGTTCCATGAGCTGGACCCAGGAATGCTTTATATGTGAGCTCAGTGCATCTCCAGAACCATCCATGAGATTGAGTCCTAATATCACCTGCATTTCACAGAAGGGGAAACTGAGCAGGTAAATGGCACTTCGGGACGCTAGCCCATGTCTCCAGAGCCCATGCTCCTAACAGCTCCTGCCTTTCCGGGTGTGCCACCGATACAGAAGTTGGCATGTGCATGGAAACTGACATGGAAAACTATTCTGTACCATGATGATATATACCAGTTCCCTGGGAGGGCGGGGTTTCAGACAAGGCTTCACTTCTAATACTACATGTTTTAGTATTTCTGAAATGTTTATAAATAGCAATTAGACAAAAGCAATAAAGGAATGTACAGGCCCTCACTGAAATGCCTGCTTCCTGACTGTGAAATTATTAGCTCCTGGCACAGAAAAAGAGGATGAAGAGATCGAATCGGGCTTGATGCCATGGTACTTCCTTCTCTGGACACCTACAGGCTCACAGAAGGAAGTGGTCTCAAAACTAATTCCTAGTAGTATTAAACCAAAGGCAGACCAGGGACCACTGTACCTGCAGGCTTTTAAAAAACGGAACATGGAGAGGAAGGCTGAGTGCCCCTAGTGATTAGAAAGAGAGTCTAACCAGAGACGTCTCCCCCTTACCACCTGCTGTGGGTGTTCACTTGGCACAGAGCTCAGAACACAGGTGCCGCCTAGGGCCATGGTCATGGGCAGCCCTGTTGCACCCTGTTCATGATCTCAGAATTGAAAGGTGAAAGCCACTTTTCAAATGAATTCTCACCCAGGCTGGACCACTGCAGAGAAAGGATGGCTGTAAAATGTCAAAAGCCTGGTGTTTGGTTTTGCAAATCAACATCAAGAGCCTCTTTCTTTGAAAGAGCAGGGCTGACCAGAAAGCTTTCATCATGGAAAGAAAGAACACTTTGGGGAAAATAAAAACACGACGTCCTTATCTACCAAAGAGACCGATGCCAAGAGGCAATTCTAACGGGACTTGCTCTCAGCCAGCCACTTTCAGCACAGTGGACAGAGGTTAAGGGCATTTTTCTACAGCACAAAGGACAGTTTCTCATCGTGGAATTCTTTGTTTTTCCCTGAATCGATATTTATGGTCACACACAGGCATTACAGGAGTCCACTCATCCAAGCCAGCTTTTGTGCGTCTGCCCAGGGACGAGCTGATTAATCTCCCAGTGACTGAAACCACAGTATGATCCAGTTCAATTGATGAGCTAACGTAAATTACAAGTACAGATGTGGTCTGATGAACCATACCAGCTGTTTGGGTTTAGATCGCTGCGTTTGATGAAAAGCACTTGAAGGCTCCTACACTCCTAAATGCAGTAGATATTAAAAACATACAGTCACCCCCCAAAGGGCATGGATGAGGCCAGTGGAGGGTGAATTCTCATAAACAGAGCAACACCACCGGATTCACTCTGAAAAGCAGGCCAGTATGCCCTTTATGTGTGATTAAACACCTTTCCAACAAATGAAGATATCACCTTATTTTATACATTACCCTGTTTTGTTTTTATGAATAATGGTAAGGGTAGCATCAGCACTTGCTCCCTTAGAAAACTCTGTTTTTTCAAACCTGCTCTGTCTGAGAGGCAAGGCAGGTCTTATCATCCCCATTTTACAGGTGGAAAGACTGAGGCCTAAAGTGGTCAAGTGGCTTACTCAAGGACTCAAACTACAGTAAGCCCTCCCTTAACGTTGTCAGTAGGTTCTGGGACTGTGAGTGAAATGATGGATAATGAAACTCATTTTTACCATAAGCTAGTTGATTCAAAAAAGAGTTAAGTTCCCACAGCACCTCATCAACGTTTTTATAAAACAATGTTGAAAAAAAATCGATGTTAATGTAACAAAACTAAGGCTAGTTGATTTAAAAAAGAGTTTTAAGTTCCCATGGCAACACACCAACGCTAACATGAAACGATGTTGAACAAATAGATGTTACTCGGGGACCTGCTGTACTTGGTGGCATCATCAGAAAGAGACATGGGTTCCAAGATACATCATCCCGGTATTCTCACCACTTAACTGGGGGTATTTTCGCCCAACTGCCCATGGAGGAAAATCAGTCAATAATTTCTCAACACCCAAAATGTTTTCTTTCCTTCCCTTTGGCCATCTTCCTAGTACACAGTCAACTGCTACAGCCCCTCTATATTGAGGGCACTCAAGGGGGAAACCGTGATTCACAGGCTTGGCATCCCCCTGTCCAAGTAGACGAAGCACAAAGCCCTGACCCTGAGCCTCAGGCTCCCCATCTGTAAAATGGGCACAGGCTACCGTGAGGATCGCATGAGACACGGCATTGTGAACACTTAACCTGATGCCCAGCATGCAGGAAGCACTCAGGAAAAACAAGTTATTCTTCTTTAGAGGTTCTTCTCTGTTGGCCCTTATTTCTGCATGTGGAAAACTCAGTACTCATTCGGCATTCTATTCTGCCTTTTTTTTTCTCTGGCAAAACCAAGTATAACAACTCACTCCCCATTATCACGATTCCGGTCCTTTACGTGACGCCCAGCACTGAACAGGCAGCACTGTACCACTCACATCCACTGCAGGAGTGGCTTCAGCACCCAACACAGGAGGGATATGGGGGCAACCCAAGGTCTGTCGGTGGCAGTGTGGCCTGCTGGGGGCCACAGCTCCAAAGTGTAGCCTGATTCCCAGGCTTTTTCTGGGATAGCCACACGCACCTGTGCAGAGGTGCCAGCTGCCCACCCACCTGCATGGTGCTAATACAGAGGCTCCTGTGGATCACGAACTGGCTGAGGGCTGCCGAGCGCTTGTAGCTGTTCCGGCCGTGTACCATGAGCAACCGGCCGAGATGCTTGAACTGCGTGATGGAGAAGTCTGCTGCCAAGGAAGCCTGTTTTCCTTCCTAAAATCCGAAGAAATTGGGCACCGTCAGAAGCACAAGAAGAGGTCAAGGCAAACACTTTTTTTTTTTTAATTGAAAAAGCAAGACACTGTAAGGAGATCTTTGAAGTACTTCAATAAAGAGATTCTTTGGTTCCAAGCTACACACAGTTGGTGGTCCAAGCCTACATTTGATTTTAAAAAGAGGAATTTATTTAAATAAAAAACATTTTTAATCACAGATAGTTATAATTTGGAGGTCGAGTGGATCCTGTATTAAGCCTTGGGGGGAAGGCCCACCCCATAATGTGTTTAAGAAGCAAAGAGTCATTCAAAGATAGGCATTTTATAATACTTGGTTCCTGGGGGAGGTGAGGATCAGACGCTGCTAACAATATTAACTAGAACATCCCTGAACATACGGCTTTGCACATTTATAGAAGTGGAAGTCATTTATAGTGCAACCATATAATGGAATTCTATAATTTTATTATTATTATTATTATTTTGGCTGAGCCATCCTGCCACCTGTTGGCAGCTCAGCGGCTGCTCAGCTCTGGCCGGGAATTGAACCACTGTTGCTCAGAGCTCAAACTCTTGAGCAAGCTCTTAACCAACTGAGCCACTCGGCCAGCCCTGGAATTTTATAATTTTAAAAGGCACACAATGGATGCCACTCGTGGCACTGAGGGTTATCAGGGTGTCCTGATATGAGGCGACAGGAATACACAAATTCCCTGTATGTGCCACTCACACCAAAAACCCAGAACCTGAACCCAATCACTCTGACCACAGATATCGTGAGACATTCTACAACCGTCCTGAATGCTTCAAAAACATCAGTCATCAAAAAACACCCCTCCCACCCGCCCAAAAAAAAGGTGGAGGAAAGTGTCTACACTAAAGAAGATTTAAAGAAACATGAAGTCATGCTAATAAATGTAATGTGTGATTTTTTTCATTGGTTCCTGGAGACTTTAAAAAAAAAACAAAAAACTTTTTAAGGACAATTGGGGAAATTAGACTATGAAAATTATGTAATATTACGGTATCAATGTTACATGTGGGGGGAGAGGTAACATGATTTTGTCTGTATAGAAGAATGTCCTGGTCCTAAAGAGGCCCATGCTGAGTATTTAGGGGTAACGTATCTGCAGCTGCCTTTCAACTGATTTGAGGGCTGCAGCGGGGAGACAGAGAGTGACAAACGTTAACAACTAGTACACTGAAGCGAAGAGCATGTTGGTGTTCATTGCTCTATTTCAACTTTTCTGAAGGAGTGACCTTTTTCAAAATAAAAAGTTTGAGAGAAGGTAAAAAAATGATGGATCTATATGTTCTGATGGATTGGGTTGTCGGAAAAGTCATGACGTATTTTTGTCTATGTTTTTCATTGCAAAAAACGCGTCATGACTTTTCCGAAAACCCAACAGAAAGAAAATCCAAGATATAACATATTTGAGCAAGATGCGTAGTATAATGTTTTTCATTTAAAATTATTCAAGAACATAATATATCTACATGTATAATATGTGTGCATGTATATACGTATGTGTGTATGTATATCGGTATATATGAGTATCTGCATACACACACACACACACACACACACACACACGTGTGTGTGTATACAATATATACGTACCTATAACCAATAATATACATTTGGACAAAAATTCTGGAAGAGTAACCAATGCTACTAGTTTGATGCAGCTATCTAAAAAACAGGACGTGCTTTATCCATTTCTAAATTGTTTTAATTCTTTACAGTGACCATTTATTCCTTTTGGACTCCAAAAATCAAAGGGATCAGAATATAATTTTAAGGGAAAATGTGCCAGGTCTACATAGAAATGGGTAAAGAATTCTATCTATTGAACTCAGTGTGTTTCTTAAAACCTGCATTAAGGGAGTCTGCACAGATTTCAGGCATAACATCCGATTCAAGGATCATTTAACTCTGCAACTTCAAATAAATGTCAACTTGGAGGAGAACCCCCAAAACAAGTCAGCTTGTGTCTGTAAGACACAGCGATATGGAGTCTGACTTTCACATAATACGACCAGGTAATTAGGCTACATGGTTCCTCATGCTTTGTACTTCTAATCTAGAGTTTTCAGAGGCATTTAAAGCTGTATCTTTGAGGGGAGAAGAAACTCCAGCTGGTGGAGCAGAGCAGCTCCCAGCCCGACGACACACCACACGGAGCGCTGGGCCGCCGGCACCTCCCCTCACTGCTCACCTTTCCCTCCACGCCCACGCCGCAGTCGGATTCCTGGATCATACTGACATCGTTGCCTCCGTCACCTGTGGGTCACACAGACCAGAGAGAAAGGCCGGGAAATTGGGGAGAGGCAAGCAACATGACTCCCACATTTCATTCTTACTTGCAATAATCACCCATGTTGTCCGTGCGATGGATGCGTGCTAACTGCCTTTTCTGCACTGCCCCATCCACCTAGCCACGCCGACAGCCTGTGGTTATCAGGTTCCTGTTCTACAGGCAGAGGAACGGACAGAGGGACCAAGTGACAGACCCAGGGCCCCAGCCATCGATCAGCGGCAGGGGCACTGTGCCCATGCCCCACTCGCATTTATGGCTGCCACATGCCCTGCCTCTGAGGGGCGCCGTGTCATTATTTATTGGCGATGACTCACACCGCCCTCTTGAACATTTACGGGGCCCTGTGGCAAGCACTTTTTAAATGCTACCCCGTTTAATCTTCACAAGCACCGCTGGAGGAAGCCACTGGAATTGTCCCATTCAACCAACAAGCAGACTGAGGCTCAGACGGGGGAGGGAAGCCACTGGGCACCGCAGCGGGGAAAACCCCGGCAGCGAGCGGGAACCCAGATCTGGCTGCTTGGTGTGTGGTCTGCACCCCTCTGCAATGCGGCATCCCGTGTCACTGGAAAAGGAAGTGCAGGCTGAGGAGAGAAGCCCTCGGGCATGCTTATCTCGTCTTTCTCAAAGGGAAAGAGTAAAAATAATAATTATAACCAAAACAGAGCCACGTCTGTGGGGGAAAAATGTGACCTGAGTAAAGTGGCCCGGGGAATTGGAAGCGCGCAGCAGCAGAATCCAATTATCCTCACGGACACTGGATCCTGCACACCAGCGGGACAGGCCAGGCCAGCCGCCGCCTACCTACTGCACAGGTGAGCTTGCCGGTGCGTTCCTGGAGCAGGCGCACGATCTGGGCCTTCTGGGTGGGGGCGCAGCGGCAGCACACCACCGCGGGGCACTGGCAGGCCAGCTCCATGAACTCGTACTCGTAGTACTTGAGGCAAACCTGTTGGGGGAGGAAGGGGAGTGCGTCAGCCAAGGTCACTGCCCCCTGGGCAGCAAGAAGGGGTGTGCGCTCCCAGGAGGGCCCGCCTGGCGGGGTCCCTGCGCCCACCTCCAGCGAGTCTCCAGAGATGACCAGGGCGCAGTCATGCTTCCTGCGGAAGGCGTTCAGCTCAAGGTGGGCCTCGCCGCGGTTGGTCACCTGGAAGGGAAGAGAGGAGTGGGGAGGCCTCGCTCTCCTCTCCGGAGATGGCAGAACAACGAACAGTGGCTTCCTGGAGCCAGTGTGAAGACAATGGCCACCCAGCCAAGGACCCCTAGCCCTCGCCTGCCGCCAGACCCACAGCCAAATTAAATCCCGTTTGTTGTGATTCTGGGGGAACTGGGAGAGCCTATATACCAACCATCACCTTGCATTTTCCCCCAAGACAGCTGTGACCCACATAATAAAAATAAGGGCTAAAAATGGCTGCGCTTTCATTCTGTGCCAGGTACTGTGCTCAGCACTTCACAGGCTTCCCCCATTTATTTCTCACGAGGACGCTACGAGGTGTATAATAACAGCTCTGCTTTACACGTATGGAAACTGAAGCAGGGCAAGGCTCGTTAGCCTGTCTAAGGCGCACAGCGAGGGCGCCGGGGAGTACGCCTCGGAAGCCAGGCATCTGGCACGGTGCCTGGCACGGTGCGCGGCTCTTCTATAAAGGACCAGATGTTAATTAGCCACTGGAGGCTCTGCCGACCCCGCAGGCCACTCCACCTAAGCAGCCTCAGACACTATGTAAACAAGTGGGGGGGGGGAGGGTGTGCATGTCAATAAAACTTTATTTACAAAAACAGGTGGCCAGACACGGGCCATGGTTTGCAGCCCCTGAATTCTAGAACCTATAGTCGATGCTCATTACCTGCGAGAGTTACGTTCTATAAAGTCGCAGTGAGCACAGAATTAGCGAACACAGGGCTGGGTTCCTGCAGTGCAACTCGTGCCCGAAAGAAGCTTATCTCGTGTTTTCTCTGAGGCACCACCGCCTTCCTGCACTTAGAAACACTCGCCAGCATTTCAGGCCTGTGCTGGGGGCCATCTTAAACTGTGAAATTGCTAACAAAAAGCATAAAAATGCAAAAAAGGTGGCACTAAATAGACCGTGAAAAGGACTCTTGCTTACAGCTTGAGAGCTAAGCCAAGATGGCAGGGCATCACCTTGTTTGACCTCAGCTGGGAACGTGCATGTCAGGCAACTAATTTTTTTCACGCTCTGCACGTGTCCATAAATGACTCTGAAAGCACCTCGCGTATTGATTTTCGGGTTACAAATACGTTTTAGTGAGTAGGTAAATTTGCAAATGTGGAACCCATGAATAATGAGGATTGACTGTATCGGCTGCTACACAATTCTGTGTGTGCTATTCCCAAAGCTGCTGGATTTCTTGAAGCTTCTGTGTGCTATGGACCAAAGGCAGGGGTGACGGGGAGATCCCCATAACATCTAGAGCCCCTGCAGTGGTCTGGCATGGTGGCTCCGATCTCAGATACATGGGACAGCTACATCCTGCCCGAGAGGGACCCAGTGCTCCTCACCTCCCAACTCAACGAGGCCAACCACAGCCCTCGACTCAGCCTCGGCATAGCACCTAATACCTGCACGGTTTGGGTCAGGCGCTTGCCCACGGACAAGACATTTCTCCTGTGCTCACCCAACACACCTCCTTCTAAAGGCTCCTAAAGGTGTTCCTTCAGGAGGGCAGACAGGCCAATATCTGGGATCTGGGATTTGTTTCTTATCCAAGGACTTAGCCTTCAAGGGTTCAGTGAAACCCTGGACACAATTTCACGCGTATGAGCTTATCTGCACCCTTTACACTGATCGTGCCTAACTTTCCTCAGCCTCTCAAAGGGACCATGACCCCCCCACACACACACCAGGTGAAGAACACGGCGGTGACAGAGCTGTAACGAGGCTCTCTGGAATCACCACCGGAAGGAACCCTTTAGCCTCAACTGGGTCATCCAGTAATTCCACCCAAAATGACGACGTGAGCCCCAACCCTAAGTGGTTAACGAGCCTTCCTCTCCCCTCTTCAGGGGCCCATTCAAGGTTATGAGGTTACGGGGCAAACTGCAGCATCACCCCATGAGGCCCCAACGCAGAGAACACTTTACCAGCCGAAAAACGTGGATGTCTTGGTTTCTGGTCACCAGATGTGCATTCTTCGCTGTGCATGTAGCTGTCTCCAGCTTGTCCCCTGTCAGCATCCAAACCTGAAATTACGGCAAACACAGCGGCCCTCTTTGTTAGTGTTGGAGGCCAGCGCGTCGCCTGCGTCAGCTGGACTTGGTATGTCCCGTTTACCTCCTCAAGGCCCACGGTGTCCCCCACACACCACAGAAAACACCCAGTTCAAGGGCTTCAGGACGCTGAGCGGCCACTGCTGGTGGCAGCACACACTGGTGCGACACGTTTAGAAAACCGTTTGGCTGCACGCTTAGGCCAACATCACGAAGCTCGGCCTCTGACCTCATAATCCCCCTCCTGGGAGTTTTTCTTTAAGCAATAAATAATCTCAAAGAAGGGAAAGCTGTATGGATAAGGGGTCACTTCCGTGTCCCACATGCACCACCGATGTGCCTCGTTACATTTGGCCTTGCTACCTGTGTGGATGTCTGTGAGGAATCTCGTGGGAGTTAACCCAAACTATAAAATGCTGGTGATAACCGTGCCAAGTTCTTCCATACCTTGTAACAGGTCACTTTACATGTCACTGCTGTGGGCTCAGAGAGGGTAGGTGACTTGCCCCATAGCCACACAGCTAGCAGCTGTCCCAACCAGGATCCAGGTCGTCAAAGTCCAGATGGAATGTGTTTTGTGCTCTGCTGTTTTTTTACCCATTAACCCTTTGTTTTCTCTGCTCCCAGCAGGGAGGGGCCTTAGAGTCATCAGACAAAGAAAATTTGGGCAGTGGGGGAAGAATATGAAGAAAATAACAAAGTGTGTTTCCCAAGTAGTCACCATGCCAGGCACCCATCACGTGCTTGATGCAGTTTAGCCTTCGCAGTAACTTTGAGGAAAGCAGTGGAAGCACTGAGAAGTCAAGCCACTGGCCAAGGGCCACAGAGGTTGTCAACGGAGGTGGGACTTGAACCCAGGCCGTAAGGCGGCAGGGATGAAGGCACCAGGCCCTCCTGGGGGCCTGGCCTCTGGGTTTGACCCGAGTGTGTGTCAGCCTTTTCCCTCAATGCCCCATCGGGCCTTAAAAACAGTGTTGTTTTAAGCGATCCCAGTTTGGTACTAGTTTTCAGGGTTTGCTGTAAGAGAGCAAACACCAAGAGAGAGAAAGAAACGGGAGGCTCAAGCTCTAGAAAAACATGGAAAGTCATCAGCACACCACGCAGCACATGTCCCACTTGGGGACAATACAAAGGGCACGGCAGGTAAGTGCCCGGGCCTGAGCTCCCGGCCCAGCTCCACATTGCCCAGTGTGAGAACCCGAAGCGGCCTCCCTCAGCCTCAGTCGCTGCATCTGGGGAGGGGCTGACATGGAAAGTTTACAAGTGCTACCCCTTTCTGGCCTGTGAAAGATCACACCTTAGACCCTCGTGACAAACGGCCCTGGCCCATCCCCAACATACACCCCCCCCCTCCGCCCCGTCTAACAAGGGAAGCCAGAGAGGCCCAGTCCACACTCTGTGAATAAAACGTCGCGCCTTTTGGGGAGAACGGTGTTGAAAAGGAGAAAAACCTCAGGACCAAGCCAGAAGCAGAAATTGGCATCTCCAAAACCCTGAGAGGAGAGGTCTGAAAAACGGGAGGTGACAAATTTTAAAGACCACAATGCAGCGGAAACTGGCCCTCCTGACATCAGGCTGTTTCTCCACAAACGGGATCTCGCTGGCAATTTCCTGTGAGCCAAGGGACAGAATTCTGTTCACAGAAGTCCACGCCCACATGCCTGTGCGCCGCCCCGCCCCGCCCCACCCTGTGGACTTGACCGCGCCTGGAGCTCCTTTATCCTAATCCACATACCCACAGGGCCCCGCTCACATGCACTTTTGCCAAATGAGCGATGCAGCAGAGAGCTGCTTCTGGGCGGAGGCAGGTGACACACACGTACATGTTTTCAGGAGCTCCAAGCCAATGAGCTTGCAGATCCTTTGCTTGGGTCCATTAGATGTAGCCTGCTCCTCAGGCGCCCTCTACTGGCCTCTGATTAAACTACTGGATATATATTTTGGGGGACCCACGCAGCAGAGTACAAAATGTAAATATGGCAGTTTGTTGGGCCAGGCAGTCACTCCATTGGGTGGTCATTCATTCACCCAGATCGACAGAAAGATGGCTAGCTGGCTGGCTGGCCGGTCACTCAACACGAATATAATGAACAGCCCGAGCATGCAGGACACGACCTGGTACTTAGGGATAAGGAGATACACGTGGTCCTGCCTTCATGAAGCCCGGCCTGGGGAGAGGGGACAGCCAGTAAAAGCAAACGCAAGTCTTCCAAAACCCGGCTGTCAGGATGGGAAGTGACCGCAGTGGCCCATCTGAGATAGGGCTATAGGTCATGGTCCCTGCATTCTATTACAACTTCCACCTCTCCCCTCTCTTGTGTTTACACTCTGCTGAAGGGATAACTGGTCTAATTCTGGGATTCGGTTCCACACAGCGGGCTATTTCAGCAGCCCGGCCGCCGGCAGGCTCACCCTACCTTGATGCCGGCGTTCCTCAGGGTTTCCAGGGTGGGCCTCACGTCCGCCTGCAGCTGGTCTTCCACGCCCGTCAGGCACAGCAGCTCCATCTCCATCTCCAGGCTCTCGATCACAGTGGCCACTTTGAGAGAGCGGTCGTGCACACTCAGCTTGGCCTGGACATAGCGGGCCTGGGACACACCAGGGGACACAGTCACAGCTTAGGGTGGGGAGGTGCGAGGCTGACTGGCACCGAGAGCGGAACGGGCCATGCCTGATCTCACCACAGCACGTGGGGTGGACCTCAAAGGGATGAAACACAGACTTCCGGCCTCCCTCCAAGTTCATCAGCCTTGCCTCTGTGCCCACCTGCAGCGCAATCTCCAGATAAAAGTCGCTTCACTTCTCTGAGCCTCAATTGTTTTCACCCATGAAACAGCAGTTAACAGCCCCAACCCCGTGGGGTTGTCGGAAGGATTGGCACAGCTCAAGATCTCAAAAAAACCAGTCGGTTCTCCCACACAAAAAGTACACTTTGCAACCAAAAACCTTTGAGCGGGTTTTCTAAAGACGAGGTCCCATTTCCGAAGACCATCAACCCAACCCTTCTGTTTAATCCCCCCTTGATAGTGTAGGCAAAGCCAAGATGAAAATCTAAACCCTCTAATGGGCTGACTCAAAACGTGTGCCTTTAAACTAGAAAGGGAGGCGGAACTGACCGGGGCTAGAACTCCTATTAAATAAAACTTTACAAAGAACTCCAACGAATCAAAGACACAGACCCAAGCAGTTTCTCCGGGTGGAAAAGGACAAGGGCCCCAGAACCACCTGTCCCCCAACCTCCGTGTGTGTGTGTGTGTGTGTGTGTGTGTGTGTGTGTGTGTGTACACGAGGTCATTATAGATGTTGATAAGTGCAATGAAGAAAGTGAAACAGGGTGAATGGGAGGAGATGATGAGGTGGGACTGCCTTAGATGGGGAGTCCAGGAAGACTTCTCGGAGGAGGCGGCATCTGCGCTGAGAGCCAAAGGAAGCGGCAAGGGGGTGGGCCATGGAGCTCTGGGAGGAAAGACCGAGTTCCAGGCAGACAGAAAGAGCAAGTGTACAGGCCCCGGGACGAATGTGAACCTGGAGCGCTCAGAAACGAAGTCAGTGTAGGCCAGGGGCAGATGGGAGGAGAGAGAACAGGAGAGGTGGGCAGGGCTGAGAAAGTAATGAAAGGTCACAGGACCGCTTACTTCAAAGTCTTGATACTGCTCCTCTGCCAGAGACTTCTTCGCCACGACGAGCACACGCAGCCCCTCTCGGGCCATGTTTCCACACTGAAAAGCAGATGGCAGTCAGCAGAGAGCCATGCTGAGGGCGCTGCCCCTGAGTCCCAGACTCTTGCTGAGGGGGGCTGGACACTGAAGTGGACAGGCCCCTCCCAAGGGGACGGCGAGAAGACAAATCAGAACACTGCGTTCCCCTAAAGCCACCTACCCTGGGCAACCCTTCTGAAGCGGGGGTTGCATCATGGCTGCTGTGGGCCAAGCACAGCCTACCCAAGTTTCCTGTAATTGGCACAGTACACGTTTCGAAATTTTAGTCCACGTTTTAAGATTTCACAGACAAATCTGGCTTTCTGGCGTGTTGGGAAAACTGAACCTCTGACAAAACCGAGGGGCGCTTTCCCAAGTAACTACGATCAATCATGGCTGAAATGTGGCCACTTCCATGAGCTCCCAGGAAACACAGTTGTCAAGGGGAGACTACGCCAAACCGTTTAACACACACGCTGCGACCCTGTCAGAAAAACACTTCCCGGCCAGTTTCGCTCGAGTTGCCTGCCTGGCCCTGCTCAGCATCTGGGTTTACCGCTCACCTACTGAAAATATACTATTAACGAATGCAACATGTGAATTCCCCACCTGGAGCCAAGAGACGAATTACAGACGGCCTGATAAACCTGAGCGGTCCTGTCATCCCTGCTGCCGAGGAGTCCCCATGTCACAAACTGGGGCGGGCAGCCGGTGACATGGCCCTGAATGGTCCCCACCTCCTGGCACCCACACCCTTGCACAATCACCTCCTTTGAGTGTGCGCTGGACCTAGTGGCTTTTTCCGGACGAACAGAACGTGGCGAAAGTGAGGGGAAGTCGACTTCCGAGAATCAGTGACTTCCGTCTGCTCCCCTTTTCCTGCTCCCCCTCACTTGCTCACTCTGACAAAGCCAGTTGTCACACTGTAAGCCGCCCTATGGAGAGGCCCACGTGGCAAGGAAGATGGTGGCCTCCGGCAAAGGAGCTCAGGGCTGCCCACGGCCACCACTGAGTGAACTTGGAGGTGGGTCCTGCCCCAGCTGAGTCTTCAGATGAGACCGCCGCCCCAGCCAACCCCTTGACCACAGCCTGTGACAGACCCCAAGCAGAGGATGCAGGCAAGCTGTGCCCGGATTCCTGGCCCACAGTAACTGAGAAGTAAATGTGTGTTCTGCTAAGCCACAATGTTTTCTGCTAAGCCACAATGTTTTGGGGTGATGTGTTATGTAGTCGCGGATAACAAATACAGAGACCGCCCCCCCAACACACACACACACACACACACACACACACACACACACACACACACGAGGGCGGCCTCTGGAACATGCTGCCAAGGCCCGGTTCCCCCCTCAACGCGACACTCACCTCTTCTTCCAGCCAGTCGTTGTACTGCACGATGCCAGCCATGACGACGTCTGCTCCCTTCATGTAGAATGTGATTTCCCCAGTGGATTCATCCTAGAGAAGCGGGGTGGGAAGGCATGAATACCCGAGAGGAACACCCACGCTCTGCTCCAGTGCCCGCTTCCCATGACAGATGGTGTACTTAGCAGACGCCAGCTTTTTCACTTGGCCAGAGATGAAACGCGAGAGAAGGGGGCCTCGCTTTGGGTCAAAGGCCACAGAAAATAGAAGAAAGCTCAAAGCATCTGAAAAATTATTAAACGATGAGAGCAAGATCAAAAGGATGTTAGGAGTTTTATAAAAACAAAAGTTGTTCCCATTCCAGCAGGAACGGACTCCCACGCTAGAAGATTACTAGCTTTATTACCCTGGACTGCCAGCAACACCACACTGGTGACTGGGGTCCCCGCAAAAGCACTGGGAAGGAAGGAAGATAATTATCTAGGTCAGGGTTTCTCAGCCTTGGCGCTATGGCAATTTAGCTGAAGGATTCTTTGCTGGGGAGGGGGGGAGAGGTCAGATTGTACCCTGCAGGACCTTTGGCTGCACGTCCCTGGCCCTCTACCCATGAGATGCCAGCAGCACCTCTGGGGTGACAACCAAAATAACTCCAGACATTAACAAATGTCCCCTAGGAGGCAAACTGTCTTAGCTGAGAACCGATGATCTAGATCATTCCAGACCCCTGTGTGTACCTGAGGACTTCAGCTGGAGACCAGATTACCTGCATTTTCCGTTCGCACTGACCGGATTTTCTAGGAAGTGGGTAAGACAGGCTTGGACCTGGCACCAGCTCCCGGTTGAGTCCCTATTGGACAAGCTACTTCTTAGCTCTGCGCCTCAGTTTCCTCAGCTATAAAACGGGGATGCTAACAACTCTCCCTGCATAGGTTTTTGTAGCTTAAACAAGATCACGGAGCACGTAGCAAAGGGCCAGAGACACAGGAAATGTCCACTCAGTGTAACCATTCCTGTTCTGGTGACAGTAACTCCACAAGTCCCTGAGTCACACTATATGTGGAGAACAAAGCTAATTAGCCCAGAGGTTCTCAGTGGGGACAATTCTGCCTCCCAGGAGACATGTGGCAATGTCTGGAGACATTTTTGGTTATCACAACTGGGGAGGGGGAGACAGAAATCTAGTGGGTAGAGGCCAGGGGATACTGCTACACATCCTACAGTGCCCAGGACGGCCCCACAACCAAGAACCATCTGGCCTCACGTGTCAGTGGTGCTGAGGCTGAGAAATTCTGGCTTTGAGGGATGATGGTGAAATCGCTGGTTTTCATCCCACGATTCTTTCCTTGATGATGCCCATCAGGGGGAGGCTGGTGGCAGCAGAGATGGACAAGGGAACTGAGTGTGGCCATCACCACCTCCTGCCTCAATTTTGCTACTCCAGGAAGCCCAGACTGCAAGCCTGTAAACTCTTCATTGCATATGAACTAAAGACCCAAAGCCAAACGAGTGGTACAGCCAGCGTCCCTCCTTCAAAATAGCTTTCGAATGCCCGCTAATCACTGACAATCTTTTTTAGAACAACATACTCATAAAAGCACCCGCCGGCCACAAAGAGGCACCTGTGTTTTGGAGGCATTAGAACTGCACGCTTTATCTCTGACAGATCGTGCCTAGGCCTGCTTGAGACTCAGGCCAAAGACAGCTGTGGGGTCTGAACATGAAAGCAACCGAGGGCATTTTTTTCCCTTCCTCTTCACTCAAACGGTGCTTGACAACATGACTGTGGGAAGTCAGGTCCTCTCCCCAGCTTCCTCGACTCCAAAAGGGTCTCCGGAGAGCTCAGACATCTTGTCCAAAATAAATACTATATTGACTGACTCTTCCCATGAGTCACTCCGTCCCACCGAGTTCATCACAAGGTTACTTCGTTCCCATATTATGGCAAGATGAGGCCAGCAATTCACAGAGATCGGCTGGTGCTGGTGCATTGTTTTGGGGCCGCATCTTTTTCCACTGTGGTCCCATTCTGGCACCTGTTCAAAGGCCTCTCCTATTCAAACAATGACAAGTGGATGACCTACACCAACGACCCGACTTCATTCCACATGGGGAGGGCAGTGGAACATCTTATGCACAACAGAAACAAAACCGGCGACACGGCCTCCCTTCAGAAAGACAAGCACACGCGCCCCAAAGTAACTGGCTTCTCCAACCCTCACCGACCTTCTCAGAAGCCCGATTCACGCGCAGACCAGACCTTGCTTTGTGAGGGCAAGGAGATATGGCCAAGTCCTGCCCATGAGCTCACACATTTAGTTTAAGGAGGCTGATGAACTAGGCGAGGGCAAAACCCTGTCAACAGTCACGAAACCAAGCCAAGAGACATTTACTACCGAGCCAAAACTTCCTCACATCAGGCAATAGACAGTTCTTTTCAAATAACAGATGAGATAAATGGACCCGTGAGCCCTGAGCTCTCAGCCCCAGCACCATGAACAATGGAGGTGGATCATTCTCTGTTAAGGAGACTGTCCTGGCCTCTGCCCACTAGATGCCAGTAGTGCCACCCTCTGAGCTATGACAACCAAAAATGTCTCCAGGTATTCTCAAATGTCCCCTGGTGGCATGATGGCCCCAGGAGGAGAGAACCCAAACCAGAGGGAGATTTGTACAAGGTGGAGAACTGGTCCAAAGGCTGTGGATGCTGACGTCTACCCATCAAAACCAACGGTAAAGAGGGAGACAGGTCAGAAAATGAGAAAAATTAGCAAAACAATATGCATTTCATTACAGACAGCCTAGCAAAGATGGATGCTCACAGAGGTATCTTTAGCAGTGAGAAATGAAAAATAACTTAAACATAAAAAAAAAGAATATTTAATCAAATAACGGTATTTTTTTTCAACAAAACACCATGCACATTAAAACCACAAAAGCCATGTTTTAATGACATGAGACATTTTTCAATATATTTCATGGGGGAGAAACCCTTCTATAGAATTCAATGCCAATTTCATTAAAATGTGTGCAGATATTTACACTCATATATACTTAAGGAAAAAATGAAAAGAAATTCTCCAAAAAGGTAAGAGTGGTTATTTTGGAGTGGGGAAGTAAAGATGAATAGTTTGGTGCCCTTCTTTACCTATTTATTTGTTGTAAATGTCTTAACGCAATGCTGATTTTTTTTTTTAATAACCTGGGATGGGGGAGTGCTCACTGAACATAATGATAGATTTGCCCATCCAACAGTATCCTATACTTCCAGGCACGAGTCCTGCTCTCGCTGTGGGAAGGCACACGGGGTCACATCACATAAAGTATGATGCGTGTCTGGGAATGAGAGACCTTTAAACTACAGGAAGGGTGGGGACACTGCTGCCCCGACTCTACATGGCTGATATTGGGAACTATTCTGTGATGATTCAACCATGAAATGACTTCAGCAGAGCCCACGGCCCTCAAACTTGAAAACATAAAGGCTGGAACAAAATTAAAGTGGGAGATAATGACTCTAATTCCCCAGGAAACGCCCACCCGCAGGATTTATGCTGCTGCTTCCAAAGGCCACGGATGTTCTTGACATCAGATGTGTACTCAAGATACGGCTTAGCAGCCTGAGTCAGGCCAGGTGTGGACCAGTGGGAAAAGCCGCAGCCACATGAGGAAAAAAGCCCCCTTCCCGCCCCAGAGTTGCCAAGGATATAATTCCGGAAAGCACCTACTGGCATCAGGGACATAAAACTCCCTTAACGTGTATCGTTGTCAGAGTACATTCATGCCGTTATCACTGGATCATCAGAACAGAGCTCATGGAGCTGTTTTAATCTCTACTCGGGGAGGCAGCCTCTAAAATGGACCCAGTGACCCCCACCTCCTGGAAGTCACACTGTTGAGTGGCCCACTCCCACTGAGCCGGGAGTTAGACCCAGTGACTTGCTTCTAATAACAGTAAGGAAAATATGATGGGAGGTCAGTTCTGAGATTCAGTTACAAAAGCCTGTGGCTTGCATGCTGTGCACACTCACTTGCTCACTTCGATGAAGCCAGCTGATGCAGGGGCTGGCCCACGGACAAGCCCATGGCAGTAAGTGAGGGTGGCCCCTGGCCAACAGCCCCCAGTCCACACGGAACTGAACCCTGCCAACAACACTGATTTTATCCGGAAGTGATGACTGCAGACCCAGCTAAGCCCCACCCAGACTCCTGGGCCACAGAAACTGTGAGGTAATACCTCCTGCTGTTTTAAGTCGCCAAGTGTAGGATAATCTGTAACGCAGGAATACATAATGAATACACTGCCCCAACATTACTCTGGGGGCTCTGTGAGCTTTTTGAGGCCCCTCTGATCTCACCCAAACTCCCAGGTCCTAGGGGTAAAGACCATGGCGCTGGGAGCCAGACAACCTGGGGGTCGAATCCCAGCTCCGCCATCTTTCAGCTATGTGAACGTGGGGAGATGTCTTAGTCTCGCTATACTTCACCCTCCTCCTCTGCCAAATGTTAGTCATAATGGTACCTACCTCACTGGGTTATGGTGAGAATTAAATGAGTTAGTGTCTGCAAATCATTTAAAACAGTGACTGGCACCCAATAAGCACTATTTAAGCGTTACCTACTGATACTGTTATTGCTGTTCCTACTGCGGCCACTATTACTACTGCTGCCAGCACTACTCCTACTCATTACTACTGTTACTAATACTACTAGTACTAATTACTAATACTACTATTACTGATTTACTATAATGGAATCTACAACTCAGGTCCCTGAGGCATGAAACACTTGTGTAGATAGAATGGAGGGGATCCTCGTTTAAAATTAAAAAAAAGAAAAAAAAATCTAGAGAAGATGAAATGCTCTTATTCCAGAGATTCGCATGATCTGAGGCAGAGGTTTCTCCAGCCACACCGAGTATGTGAAGAACCTTAAAAATACCGGGGAACCATCCCAATACCAAAGTGGGAGTGGGATGGAACCCAGTAATCTACATTCTTAAAGCTCCCCTGGTAATTCCAGAATCAGCCAGGCTTAAGGACTACTGACCAAAGTGGCTTATGAACCCAGGGTTTCCAGGCTTCCCAGAACGCAAAGTGTGGTCTCTGTGAGTAAAAGAGCGAGTAGGAAAACAAGATGTTAATTCAGACTCTTCAGATGGGCAAAACGTAAAAAGTCTAACGCTATCACATGTTGGTGAGGACATGGAGGAATAATGGGACTGAGATTAGTATAAGCACTTTGGAGAAAAAGGTGACAGTATCTGATAGAGTTAAAGACGTACATATTCTACAGCCCAGCAACTCTACTTCTAGGAATACGCCACAAAGAAACCCTGACATCCATACAACAGAATCTGAAGCAGACAACGCAATGCACAGCAGTGCTGCCTAACTGTCTCTCAAGAGGGAACGGCGGTAGACGGAAGGCAGAGAGGTATAGTCACACCCGATGCGATAATAAAAATCAGCTACGGTTAATGACGTGGGAGTCAGGGTAGGAACATAAAGTTTTTTGTAATGTTAAACAAAAAACAGGAAGTAGAAAAATGACACATATACTAACTACAATGCCACTTATACAGAGAATAATAATATGTAACACTGTAATACTTGTTATTTATACCCAAACATGTCTGATAATTGCATTTTTAAATTCCTCAGCGTGATAGACTTGGTGGAGAAACGGAGGAGCAGCACATCCAGGGAGGAGATGGCACTTCAATTCGAGGCACAATATTTTATTGCTTTAAGAAATTTTTTGAACTATATATAATACATGCAAAAATACGGATGAATCTTACAAATCTAAATTTGAGCAAATGAATTCGAACACAAAAGGGTATCTACTGTACAATGTCCTTTTATACAAAGTTCAAAAGGAGACAAAATTAATCAATGGTAGAAATGAGGACAGTGGTTCTCTCCCTCTAGGGAGGGGTGATGGAGTGACCAGAAATGAGGCATGAAGGAGCTAAAAGATGATGGTGGGTGAGAGTCTGTTCCTTGCTCTGGATGCTGGTTTCATGGGTGTGGTAACTTTGTAAACACTTGAGATGTATACACTTTTTTTTTTTTTAAGCTGAGCCATCCTGCCACCTGTTGGCAGCTCAATGGCAGCTCAGCTCGGGTCAGGAATCGAACTGGCAACCCTGTTGCTCAGAGCTCGCACTGTTGAGTGAGCTCTTAACCAACTGAGCCACTCGGCCAGCCCTGAGATGTATACACTTTGGATGTTTGCACGTCTCTCTGTGTATGCTATAGTTCACTAAAAGTTTCAAAAACATAAAAAAGAACATCAGAAATAAAGATGGCAAAAGGATGATGCTGAGTGATCACTAGATTTATTTCAGTAATTTTTGTGATTGTACGAATTTTAAAAAAAACACTGAAAATATTTCATTACAAGGGTGCCAAGATCATTTACAAGGGAATAGTCTTTTCAACAAATGATGTGGGGACAGCTGGATGTCCACATGCAAAAGAATGAAGTTGAACCCCTTCCTCACACCATATACAAAAATTAACTCAAAACGGATCAATGATCTAAAGAACAAAAGCTACAAAACTCTTAAAAGAAAATATAGGGGTAATCATGAGCTTGGATTTAGCAGTGGGCTCTTTAGATATGACACCGAGTCAAGAACAACAAAAGAAAAAATAGATAAACTAGACTTCATCAAAATTAGTAACTTCTGTGCACCAAGGGAATTTCATCAATAAAGTAAAAGACAACCTACAGAATGAGAGAAAATATTTGGATAGCATATCTCTGATAAAGCTCTAGTATCCAGACTCTGTAAAGAACTCATACAACCCAACCACAAAAAGACAAACAACCCAATTCAGAAGTGGACAAAGGACCTGAACAGACATTTCTCCATGGAAGATGTACAAGTGCCAATAAACATCATTAGTCATTAAGGAGATACAAATCAAAACCACAGCCAAATGCCACTTCACGATCACTTGGATGGTTATAATCAAAAGGAAGAAAGAACAAGAACAAGCGGTGATGAGGATGTGGAGACATTGGAACTTTCACATATCGGCTGGTTGAAATCTAAAATGGTACAGCAGGGGGCCGGCCGAGTGGCGCGATGGTTAAGAACTCGCTTGGGATGCCAGAGGGCCCCGGTTCGGATCCCACATATGAGGGCCAGTGACACTGCCCTCCACAGCTAAGATGCTGAACAACAGCTCAACCTGGAGCTGGGCTGCCGAGAGTCGCCGGCGACGGCGTAGGCTGCAGCCCCTGTGGCAGTGGGTTGCCATGGGCTACCGTGTGTAGCCAGCAGCCAGCGTGAGCGGCCAGCAGCCGCAGTGAGTGGCCGTCCAGAAGCCGGCGACTGATCTGCCTCCCCCAGGAAGAGCGCAATGATGGTGCCAACTTGGGCCAGTGAAGCAGCGTCCTCCACAACTAGATTGAAGAACAAAAAACGACAGCAACTTGTCTGTTCCCCTTCCCCTAATTCCCCAGTACTGTTCCCATCCCCCCAATTACCCAATAAAAAAAAATCTTTAAAAAAAATAAAAATAAAAATAAAACGGTACAGCAGGGTAGAAAGCAGTTTGGAGACTCCTCCTAAGTTTAAAACACAGAAATTACCCAGCGATGGAGTAACTGACCCAGCATGACCGAGCAATTCCACTCCTAGGTATAGACCCAAAAGAACTGAAAACAGGCATTCACATCCTTGTTCACGAATGTTCATAGCAGTATTACTCACAACAGCCAACAGGTGAAAACAACCCAAATGCCCATCCATGGATGTATTCGGATCACAAACATGGAATATTATTCAGCTATAAAAAGGAATGAAGCGCTGATACCTGCTACAATATGGATGAACTCTGAAAACATTATGCTACGTGGAAAAAGCCAGGCACAAAAGGTCACATATGGTGTGATTCCATTTATATGAACTCTCCAGACCAGGTAAATCCATAGAAACAGAAAGCAGATTCGTGATTGACAGGAACTAGGGGGAAGGGAGTAGGGGGACTGACTGCTTAATGGGTACAAGGTTTCCTTTGGGGGTGTTAAAAATGTTTTGAAACTAGACAGAAGTGGTGCACAGCGTTGTGACTATATTAACTGGCACTGAATTAAACATTTAAAATGATAAATTTGTTATGGGAATTTCACCTCAATAAAAAAAAAATACATTCAGCTAAACAAAAGAGCATATCACGGGAAATGTATTATTATCAAGAAATGCCCGATCTTCATTCAAGACCTGGGTTCACCAGAAGCGGACCAGCCATCCGAGTTCCTGTCCGATGGATGAACTTGCATTCTTGCTGCTTAGGGAATGTTATTCCCTTGTTAGTTTGGGCAACAGACAACAAAATAAAGGTGGTTAGAAGCAGGTAAGAAAGAATGTCAAGCCACAGGGACATTCACAGCGTACTTGGGGGGGTTTTAACCATTTTAAGTCATCAATAAAAACATGACTCACCCTCACAATGATGCCCATGCGCTTGCTTTCGTAGGTGAAAGGGAAGATCTGTAAGATGGTGAAATTCAGGATCTGGTCGCCAGGGGTCCTCAGCTGCATGGAAGACTGGTCTCGGCCCACCAGGGTTAAGCCCACACTCTCAGTCCACTGTACCAGGGCCACCTGAAGGTTACAGAGAGCGGACGGTCAGACACTCGGGCGAGGGTCCTGGTTCACAGGTCCAGCGAATGAACACAAAGGTGCAAGGGGGCGCAGGGACAGGTGAAGCATAAGTTGTCGCTGTGTCCCTGGGGGAGGCTGTGCAGGCCCCGTGACTGCTGGGCCTGCTGGGGCCCTGCACTCACATCTGCCTCTGTAAGGCACGACTCACCTCTTCCAGGCCCCAGAGCAGGCCGAATTCCAGAGCAGGGGCAGAGAACTGCACAGGGTCAAGGGTGATTAGCACGGACCATACAAGCCAAACAATTACTGGGACGGGGTGGCTTGGCCTTCAGGCTTCCCTTTAAGACTCGCGGATACTCAGCCGGTGGGTAGTTCCAGCAGTTCTCAACTGGGCGAGTCTGCCCCCGAAGGGGCATCTGGCAATGTCTGGGGGCATTTTGGGTTGTCGCAACTGGGAGAGGGGGTGTGTGCTGCTGGCATCTAGCAGATAGAAGGCAGGAATGCTGCTCAACACAACAGAAAATTAGCCCACCCAAATGTCAGCCCTGCCGAGGTTAAGAACACTGGTCACACTGATGAGGAAGCCCAGGCTCGGAGAAGTTACGATGTCCGGGGTGATGCTGCTGGTGGATACAGGCCAGGTCAGGTGAGAGCCTGACAGGTGGGCCTGGCCTACAGGCCCAGCCACCCAACACTGCACCCCCGGAGACATGGACTTCTCAGGCGTCCACCCGACACCATTAGGATGTTGATGGGTGGTGCAGTGGGCAGAATAACGGCCCCCAAACCGCGTCCTAATCCCCAGAACCTGTGACTACGCTGCTTTACGTGGCAACATGGATTTTGCAGATGTGATCGGGTTGGGGACCTTGAAATGGGGAGATTATCCTGGACCATCCGGGTGGACCCAATGTAATCACGTGAGTCCTCAAAAGGGGGAACTGTCCTGGCTCCGGCCAGAGAGAAATGTGAGGACAGAAGGAGGGTCAGGGACATGTGACATCACTGGGTGTGAAGGCAGAAGAAAGGGCTAGACCGAGGAACGTGGGCAGCCTCTCGGAGCTGGAAAACACAAGGCGTCCAGTTTTAATGCTAAACAAGCTGCCATTTTATTCTCCAAGTCCAAGGGCATGGTGTCTAAAAAAAAAAAAAAAGGTACCCCCACCCCCTTTCTTCTTATAAAGCTTAATCTTTGGGGAAAGCAAAGGAGGTGGGTTTTAGGAGACTTGAGAAGAGGGAAACGTGACAGAAAAAGGGTACACAGGAGTCAATTTCATCTAAAACGTTTTATTATCTTTAAGCCTGGTCATGGGTATATGGATGTCTATTATTCTCTGTAACTATCTGCCTCTCTGAGATATTTCATAATTTTTTTTTCCCCATTGAGGGGGTGGTAGGGAAAAGAGTGTCACCTTTCCAGGGAATCTCCTAGCAGCAGCCGCCCCCCAGCACCTCTATTTTATTAGGGTCCTCCCTGAGTCCCCATTCCTTTTGCCAAGTCTGCAAAAGCCACCAGGAAGATGCCTGCAGCTTGGTACTCACGGCTCTGTTGTTTCTGGGACCACGCGGTGGCACCTCAGCTTTAGTGCTTTAGTGGGGGGTCGCACTGGAGCTCAAACCCGGGGTGCCAGCCCAGCTCTACCACCCACCCCCACTTCCTCCCTAGGCCTCTGAAATAGGGGACCTGAAGTTGATTATTTCTCATTTCTGTTCCAGCCCTAAATGTTTTGTTTATACATCCTCAGTTGGTGCTGTGCTCAGATATCTAATTAGGTTTCCGCTGCTGATGGTAACTGAATTTACATCAGAAAGAAGTTATTCTTCACGAATGGGAAACCCTACCCTGGTTTGATTATGTCATAACAAGTCAACCAGGTCGAACTCGCTTTCAAATCTGACCAATGGAAGAGACCATTACACTGACCTGCCCCCCCAATCCAGAGCTAATCAGTAATGATTTGTTTTATTTTGTTTTTTGTTATTAGCCTGCGCAAGTCTTGAAAACCCATTCGCTTATTTAATTCAGTAATTCTGACTTTCAATATGGCCTGTCTTACCTGCTAACAATCTCCTTTTCAAAGTTTAAAATTAACAATCCAGTAAAGCTCTGTATTTACAAAATAATCCCATCTGTATATAAAATGTCTCTAAGGGTGATACACATGAAGAGAAATCCTTCTAGCTTTTATCTCCATCTTTCTGTACTCCTGGAATATTTTTAGCACGTACATGCATTTCTTTTATTTTTAATAAAAGAAAGTAAATAAATATCCCAATGCAACACAAGATATTACAAATACCTAGGTATACACAAGCCCAAAAAGTTTAACTAAAATTTTACATACCAAGTTTATATAAAAAGCAACAGCAAAATTCTCCTTTGGATGCTTTCAAATATGTCATTGAAAGGATTTTTTTTCATTCTTCTTTTCAAGGAGCTGTTACTTCACCCCTTAAAAACCTATTTCATTGTTCTGAAAAGATGTGAAAAGTCTGCGATATTGGGCTTCAAGGAGATACACTAACTCCCCCCCGAAACTTGTTCTTAATCTAATCGAGAAAGACGCTGGAACACCAGAACCGGAAGTGGCTTTCATGGGGGTGAAGGCTGTTCTGGCCTTAGCCAGCCCAGCCCCCATGCCATGGACCCCACAGGGTTGTTAAGAGGAAAAGTGGAACAATAAATCCGAAATGATCAACAATGACAAATGTTCCTGATGAAGGACCAATCACAACTGTAGGTAAACATCTTTTAAGCCTGCTTACTTTCTTCTACAGTGAACCTCTCAACCGAGTTTAAGGACCTACACTAAGACTATGCTTGTCCCCCCACTCCCACCCTCTTGGGTCCCCACATCCTAATCAAAACCTCATTGGTCTCCTGGGGGTGGGGTGGGGGTGCTGATTCCAACAGGATATGAGCCCTGCAGGGGGCCGTTCATTTTCACCTTCCAATTTCTTACTTCACTTGAACATAAGTCAGCGTTAATTTAAAGCTACTTAATAACAGAACACAGAAAACCCCCAAGGTCCTACTGAGCGGGAACAGGTTTAGAATTGGGGAGCTCACGAACCCTTCTCAACTACAGCAGGGATGATCATTTTAGGGGTAAGGTGAGATAACCGTATTCCTGTCCAAAACAAGATGATATAAAATCAGGTTACTCCTTAATTCTGGCGGGTCCACGCTTCTGTTCAAAAGAATCATTCCATATCATCAAATCATAAGAGATTTTAGGGTCTTGAGTCTCACTGTCCTTAACAGCGGGAGTAGGGGTCTCAGGGAGCCTTGGGTCAGAATATCCAGAGGTCAGAGCAGCAGGAGAACAAGAAACCTTGTTAAGGCGAATGAATGAATAAATTAGAAGCAAAATTGATCAAAGGCTAGACACCAAGAAGGGGCAGAGAGGCGGGGCTTGGCTCATGGCTCAGGTGTGTGTTCCAGGTCCATTCATGAAATCAAACAGAGCACGCTACTTTCCCTCCCTAAAACGCCCATCTGAACAAGTCATGCCCAAACTATACATGAAAGGGCTGCTTCATCCTTGGTGGGTCAGCAATAAACCGCCTGTGACAAGTTTCAGTAATTTTCCTTTTGGACCTGGGAATGTGTGCTTGGGAAAAAAGCCAGATCAGGCTAAAGAGCCTTCAGTTCTTGTCAAAAGCAGGATACATACTAAGCGTAAGAGCATGCATGAATCTGGTATCTGATGAAAGGAGTGTTTCGGGGGCATTCAATAAGATAAACACCCAGGCTCACAGTCTGCCCTAATCCAGCCTTCCAAGACTATCAATCTATTTACAAACCTAAAATATTCTTTACCTAAGTAGGAAATAGATTCAATGATGCACCTCAGGGTGGTTGCAGGTTCAAATGTCCACAGGGGTTGGGCAGGTAGCAGCTAGGAGGGCAGGCCACCCAGGGGCCAGGAGTAAACTGAGGCAGCAGTGGCCCAGCTTGGCTAACTACTGCCAGGTGGGAATTGGGCACATTATTTCCAGATCTGATCTTTCTCAAGAGAAGCTGATGTTTATATAACATTATGTAATTTTTAAAATATCACTGCAGAGGTGTTTTGTTTTGTTTTTAACACAGCAGAGAGCAAACAAAATAGCCCATTCACTATGCTTAAGAATCAAGAGAACATGATGGAATAAAAAGCTACTCCCTGACCCAAATTTCCTTGAAACTGTACTTGAATGTCAGGCTCCTATCACTGAACTCTGAGAAAAATTAATATCTGAGAAGGAAGAGTGGTATCATCTCCATAGAAATTTAGCCATTTGGAAATCACTATTGTGAAGGTGAGACACTCAAAAGGTAGGCTTCCAGGGTCCGGTGGAAGATTTATTATCAAGCTTGGAAGCTTCCCAAGATGAGAAATGAGGGAGGGGCCAAAAAATAAAAACATTCCCCTGAGCTTGGGAGAACCCGGATTCGGAATGCGGGCTCAGAACAGGAGTCCCAGGGGACTAGAGAAGGTAAGAAAAAACGGATACTCTAGAACCTCATCCAGTGTCAGCCCTGAGTTCCCCAAACGCTGGTTGCTAAACTCTGCAGCGCTCTGTGAGTTTACAAAGCACTTTCAAGCCATCGTCCCATGGGTAGCAAAGCAATACCACGTGGTTACAAGTCCAGCCTCTGAGACGTAGGGTGCCTGGTTGTAATCTTGCCAGCCATGTGACCCTGGGAACGTTCCTCAGGCAGCCACATCATCTGCAAAATGGCACAACCGTAGTAATTGCGTCATAAGGGGTGCCCAGGGCACAGTGGCCGGCACAGAGCAGGTGTTCAGCAGGTGGCCCCTTCTTCCTGCTATCCTTACTCTCTCTTCTCTAAAGCCTGTGAGCTCAGTGGTATCAGCCCCTCTTCACCTTCAGGAGGCCGAGTTCAGCGATGCTTTGCCTGCAATCACACCGCTGATGGAGTTCACCACAGCCAGCACTGCACCGGGGAAGCTGAAGAGGGACAGTACGTGCCCTCATCTTTCATGGAAGTT